TCTTTGCAACCTACCCTAAACCCTAAACCCTAAACCCTAAACCCTATAAACCCTAAACCCCCTAAACCCTAAACCTGAACCCTCAGTCAGCATCTTGTCAGAGCCTCCGCTCTCTTTGGCGACCTAGGACAGGACAGGGCCAAGGTAGAAGGGAAGCCCATCTGTTCTCACAGTTCTTGTATCTTGTGCCACCACAGTGCCCCAATTCAGAGATTTGGGATGCGGTGAGGTGCTGTCCACTTGACAAGCTGTTGAGAATCAAGCTGCTGCCTACAATCAAACTATTGGTTGCACCTCATGTATCTGGTGCCGCCAGTCGCGGATGCGAACTTGCAAAGCCAAGAGGTAACGAGAACCAGATATGATGGCGACTGCGCTGGTTCGCTGCTCTGCTCTGGGGCCGGTGCGCTTGCCAGCTTCGCCCTGAGTGCGCTGTGGGCTCGGAAGGTGATGGAAGCAGGGAACCTGTAGAGCCTATGGCAAGCAGGCCTGGCTTGGAAGCCCTCATAAGGGCTGCCTTCTAGCTGCTCGAACGACTGCGTCAGAAAAAAATTAGTTCTCACAAGGTAACACCTCTTCCCCTCTACGCACGTACAGGCAGGGGCTTCGCCGCAAACCGCAGGGCTGAAACCGATCGTCCTCTGCATCCGAGCTGCACCAAGATCTGCCAGGCTGCGGCTGCTTTGGCGGGGTCAAAAAGTGAGCTGAAACCAGCACCTCGAAGAAGTGGGAAGAAGTGGGGGAGAGACGCAATGGAAGAAGACAATTTGGGATGATGTGCGCATGGAGATTTTGAGTGCCCCCCCGCCACCCCCCACCCCCAGACATCCTGTCCCCAAATACAGGCTTCCCCGAAGAGCCTTTCGCATCTCTAAAGTTCTCGAGCTCGGCAGACAATTTTGCGCCAACTGGCGTTCCATCCCCTTTTTTCACCCTTTAAGGATTATATAGGGTACCTCATTCCCTCATTCCCTACTAACCGACAGCAAGCCAAGGCGGTGACTGGTCGCCGGTCTGTAGTCCTTCTCGCCTCAGCTCAGCAGACTTCTAGGCCGGCTCAGGCGGAGATGCACAAACAACAAGAAGCGCGTTGTTCACAACGACTGGGAAACTCATTCCTGAAAACTAAAGTAGATACGCAGAGCTCGACTGCTGTCCAAATCTGCCCAAAAAGAAATATTCACAATTCTTGAGTTCAGGAGTCTGACGGCGTATTGCCATGCATTACCTCCACACTCATTTCCAGATTTTATTGGCGACTCGAAAACAAGAGTTTCAGCATAGTGCAGGCCGAAAAACCACAGCCGAAGGCTCCTGCGGTCGTCTCCCCAGCACAGGCTGGGCCGTACCTGCAGAACTTCGGTTTCGACTCTCGCGATTCGTAACCAAAAACAGCGCATTGGCCCTCTGACGAACACCAGGGTTTAAGAGTTCAAGGTCTCAACGCTCACGCTGCATCAGGCTTAGGATCTCGAATCTCTCGCTCGCGCAGGGCAGGCAAGGCTTCGGTGGGCCTGGTCTCTTGACTGTATAGACAGTAACTGGCACCGAGAACTCTGAATCATGCCCTTGTTACTTGCACACCACAGGACCAGACAAGGAGAAGTGGGGAATAAGTCTTAGGGGCTTCCGGGCTTGGGGCTTTCACACTAATTACCTGACATCTTGCCGCTTGCCTAGCTGACACTCGGACGCACGGTCTTTGTTGGACCCAGCCGTCGATGCACGAAGTCATGGCAATCAGAGCAATGCACGCGTTGTGTACGCACACGTGGCAAGTGCTCTAGCGGATCATCAGCCCTCCGAGGAGAAAGTTCAATGGCCCAAAACTGCCGACTCTTTAGAAGCGAAAGGCTTGCTTGTGATGCAACGGGACTGTAAACAAGTTGGCCAGGTGCTGTCCTGCCGTCTGCGAAATTACCTCGAAGAGCCATGCAGGGGGACAAAGGAGGAGCTTCTTGCTACCTTCATCATTCTTCATCTCCATGCCTCCCCCTGCTATGCCTCAGCCCAGCTCTTCATCGCATAGCAGCCGTCAGCCGTCGAAGATAATACTGGTGAAAATCTAGAAACGCCATCGGCTGTCAGCAAGGTGAGCTATTTGTTGGAAGCGAAAGCCATGCGAGTGGATTTGGCTCGTTTATGCCAGGCTTGCGGCTTGCATTACAAATTATTAGCAAGCATACGAGGCGAACTAAATGATGGACAACTCGACCTTGCTCATCAAAACGACTGCCAAACCCAGGCAAGAGGAAGCCTGTTTCGAAAGTAGCTAAGGATCGTGCAGCTGATGCAACTGGCGGCACCACAATTTTTTTTTTTTGGGGGGGGGGGGAGAACGAAGCACATGATGCACTGCAGTTTTGCAAGGGACTTCCTCTTGCGGCAGTCGAGCGAACAGAATCAGGCAACCAGGCACTACGCAGATTGTTGCGCCGAATTTGAGTCTACGGCCGTGCAGAATACTGCACTGTTTTGAGCTCCTACTGACGGGAAAAGGTTCGCGCAGACGCTGCCATGCACAGCCCACAAGAAAAAGCAGTTGCGATCAACCCATCTAGACTAAAACCCGATCAAGTGCAAGATGCTGTACTCTAACCGCTCAGAAATCTGCGTAAAGGCACCATTGAGTTTAAACAAGTTGACCAGGTGCTGTCCTACCGTCTGCCTTAAATACCTCGAAGAGCCATGCAAGGGGGACAAAGGAGGAGTTTTTTTCTATCTTCATTATCCTTCATCTCCATCCCTCCCCCTGCTATGCCTCAGCCCAGCTCTTCATCGCCTAGCAGCTGTCAGCCGGCGCAGATCAATACTGGGGAGGATCTGAAAACGCAATGGGCCAACCAGTGCCGTTTCACTACGCCGTTGGCAGGTTGTTGTGCCGAAATTGGAGTCACGGCAACCGTGCAGAACACTGCACTGTTTTGAACCCGTGCTGTCGCCAAGACATGCGACGGGATGCGGCGGGAAAGGGCTTGTGCAGACGCTGCCATGCACAGCCCGCAAGAAAAAACAGCTGGTTGTTGATTTTTTTGAACCCGTGCTATGCTACTGCCTGAGACGGGAGTGTGACTGCACCATCGCTCCACGACAGCACCAGTGAGATTCACCCGTTCAGACGAAAAACCGATCAAGTGCAAGATGCTGTACTCTAACCGTTCAGAGAACTTATACTGATATGAACCTGCCAGCACCATTGACCTAATTACCGTCTGCGAAATTACCTCGAAGAGCCATGCAGGGGGACAAAGGAGGAGCTTCTTGCTACCTTCATCATTCTTCATCTCCATGCGTCCCCCTGCTATGCCTCAGCCCAGCTCTTCATCGCACAGCAGCCGTCAGCCGGCGCAGATGAATACTGGGGAGGATCTGAAACCGCAATGGGCCATCAGCAAGGTGAGCTTTGTTCGAAGTGAACACCAGGCAAGTGTAGCGGACTCTTTCTTTTCGCCAGTCTCGTCTTATCGCGATCATACGGCGCTTGAGAAGTGATGGACAACTCGGCCTTGCTCCTCGAAACGACTGCCAAACCCAGGCAAGAGGAAGCCTGTTTCGAAAGTAGCTAAGGATCGTGCAGCTGATACAACTGGCGGCACCACATGTTTGGGGGGGAAGAACGAAGCACATGATGCACTGCAGTTTTGCAAGGGACTTCCTCTTGTGGCAGTTGCGCGAAAAGAATCAGGCGACCAGTGCAATGGCACTGCGCCGTCGGCAGGTGGCTGCGCCGACATTTAAGTTACTGCAACCGTGCAGAAGATTGCACTGTTGTGACCTGTTGTGAACCCGCACTGACGCCAAGGCATGCGGCGGGATGCGAAGGGAAAGGGGCTGTGCAGACGCTGCCATGCACAACCCACTTGCGACAAAGCCATCCAGACAAAAACTCAACCAAGTGCAAGATGCTGTACTCTAACCGTTCGGAAGACTTCTACTGACATGAATCTGCAAGCACCATCGAGTTCATCTGTTTAGGGGCCTAGCAGCAGTTCAAAAAGATCCATGCTCGGCGGGTCCGACCGCTTCTTGCACGGATTCGGAGCCGACTGCTTGAATGGATTCGGAGCTTCGGGAATGCCCGTCGGGCCAAAGATCCGCTTCAAGTGCTCCTCTCTGTCGCACGGCTCTGGTGAGGTGGCACTGACGTCCCGCTCCGTCTCGGATGCTCGCGATGGGCTGCGTCCACATCGAGTGCTTGCCACATCTTGCTGGGACGATGGCGGCCTCGTCGTCGCTGCCTGGTGGTTCGTATCCGCGTCGGATGACTGCATGGTTAGGCTGCTGGAAGAAGCCTGGGCGCCTGGGCTCGGCTTGTACCGCGGGCCCGATGAAACGGGCAGGCAAAACAAAGTCTCAAACGGCTTGAGCCGTGTCGCACTGGCTTTAGGCGGAAGGGGAGGGATGGGGGCACCCACATGGAAGCATATCCTTTGCATCTCCACCAGACTCAAGTTGCGAGAGTTGGAAGGCTTGATCTTTCGACTCTCGCTCTCGCGCGCAGCAGGCAAGCTGGTTTCTTGACTGTTTTGACAGCAACTGACTAAGAGCTCTGAGCCATGCCCATGTTACTGACAAGGAGAAGTGGGGAATTATGTCTTTAGGTTTTCGATGCTGCTTGCCTAGCTGCCTAGCTGGGCCTAGCTGACGGACGCGCCGCTTTTGTTGAACGCAGCAGCCGAGACAGATGCACGAGGTGCTGGCAGTTAGAGCCATGCACGTGTTGTATGCACCAGTCATGTGCAACAGACCTCACGTGGCAAGTGAGTGGCGACTTTTGCAGACAATGAGCCTTCCGAGAAGATGGTTTAATGGGTCAACACAAGAAGCAAGAAGCCACTGTTGCGCAGCAGTTTTGCACGGCCGGCCAAGCCATCCAGACAAAAACTCAACCAAGTGCAAGATGCTGTACTCTAACCGTTCGGAAGACTTCTACTGACATGAATCTGCAAGCACCATCGAGTTCATCTGTTTAGGGGCCTAGCAGCAGTTCAAAAAGATCCATGCTCGGCGGGTCCGACCGCTTCTTGCACGGATTCGGAGCCGACTGCTTGAATGGATTCGGAGCTTCGGGAATGCCCGTCGGGCCAAAGATCCGCTTCAAGTGCTCCTCTCTGTCGCACGGCTCTGGTGAGGTGGCACTGACGTCCCGCTCCGTCTCGGATGCTCGCGATGGGCTGCGTCCACATCGAGTGCTTGCCACATCTTGCTGGGACGATGGCGGCCTCGTCGTCGCTGCCTGGTGGTTCGTATCCGCGTCGGATGACTGCATGGTTAGGCTGCTGGAAGAAGCCTGGGCGCCTGGGCTCGGCTTGTACCGCGGGCCCGATGAAACGGGCAGGCAAAACAAAGTCTCAAACGGCTTGAGCCGTGTCGCACTGGCTTTAGGCGGAAGGGGAGGGATGGGGGCACCGCCACTAGACTCGAGTTGCGAGAATTGTTGGGTTACTGTTACTGTAGGTGCCAAAGGAAGTATAGGCTTGTGAACTTCATGTGAAATAGAATTGTCCTGTGGGACACTATGGCGAACAGTCGCCCGTGTCGGACTGAAATACAGCGGGTGCTGACGAAGCAACATGCTAGCTGTTGCAGACATGCCAGTGTCGAAGCATGGGCACTGGTCCGGCTCGTTATAACCTGAGGGAGGATGCGACGCGGTGAGCTTCCGGTTGCGTCGCATCTTATTGGAACTGCAATGTACACCAAAGACACGGATGCTTCTACTAAGCCCACAGTGGCTTTCCTGCACAGCGAATAAGAGGAAGCTGCCAAGCCACCCATGACGTAGTCACCTCCCAAATGGAAGAAGCCTTAGCTTGCGCTGCTGTGACTTCCACTGTTTTGCCCCAGAGAAAAAAATTCCATCCTCAGCACCTGGAATCTCCCTGGATACAGAGTCTTTGACGTGCCTTAACATGAGCAACACGTACTGAAGGCTGGAATCGCCGGGCAGCTAAAATCCTTGGGCATCTTCGTCCCCCAAATCATTGGAGTGAAAGTCCTTTTGGCTTTTCTGACCACCTGCATGCAGGATGCGTCACTGCAAATGAGCCGCGCACCAAGCAACAAAGACGGACAGCCTTAACATGTTGTGCCACTACGGTCTGCGCCTGCGGTGGAAGGTGGCTGTGGTCCAGTCTAATATCCTCGTTTTTGCTTGCAGGTACGAGAGCAACGGCTCAAAGGAACAAATGGATCAGAAATTCAGAAACTGCAATGCGTGCTGGAGCTGACTCTCATCCAGACTGTGGATTAAACTGAAAGACACAGCGTGAAGAGAAGCAGCGGCAAGTCATAAGGCTCTCGCATAGTCCCAGTTCCACCAAAAGTCGATAGCACCCGAGTTCATGCTGGTTTCCTCCGGCTTCAGATAGGCTGAGCTCTTATAAGTGCTTTGGTTAGCGGGCTGGCAGCTCGCAGCATCACTCCGCGCAGTGCCATCACGACAGCGCTAGATGCTCTAGATCGGGCGGACTTGTGGACGACTATATCTTGGAACCAACCTCGAGGCATAGCCGCTTCTTGAAATTGGGAGCAGTGACTTGTGTGGCTTATACTGTATAGAAGAACTTTGCCGACATCGTGTAGCTTCTTTCGACATGCTGGACAACAAAGCACGTCGAGGGTCCAAGCATTGCGGACAGTCAGCGAAGGTGTTCGTGCCAACTCCGCACAGCAGTCGGTCGGCCACCTGAACAAACACTGCTTCAAACACTGCTTCCACTACCCAAAGAAAAAACGTTGTTTGGCAGCGGCAACATTGACGTAGGTAGGGTTTAGTACCCGGCTGCTGCAGCCCTCGCTTCCCCAAGAGGGTCCCGGGCGCTTAGGTATAACAGTGGCTCTCCGCACAGGTTCACAACACAGAGCCCATCCATAGCTTGAGGGCAGGGATTGCAACGCGTGTCTTCAAGAAGAGTTTAGGGTTTGAGGGGTTCAGGGTTTGGCGGGCCTGGGTTAAGGATCCAAAGGCCTCAAGGCCCGAAACAAACCTCAACTTTGCAAACCGTCCAAATCTAAACCCTGCTGAACCCAGATTCAGAGCATGACCCTAAACCCCAAACTCCAAACCCCAAGCCCCGGGCTGCTTGCGACATCAGCGCCCAAAGGGTGGCCTGGCCTTGGTTTCCCGCAGAATGACATCACACTGGAATTTAACAAGTGGCAGACGCATGTTCTTGCATTAGCCCAAGTTTTTGTGGTGCTCGAACCTCTGGATATACCATACTCTTCATTCAGTTCATGTTCGAATTGTCAGCGTGTCAGTATGTGCCTGAATCTGACGAAAGATGACTAAACCGATAGCAACCTCAGGTGAAGGCTAGGGCTTGCCTTAGGAAGATGCAGAGAGGGAGCCCTTCCTGACCACAAATCCCGTGATGCTCAAGTTCCTCCATAATGCTGGCTGCATGCGTCTTTAAGCAGAAAGCGCCAAATCTTCAGCAACAGTCGTGTGGACAAGAAAAACGTGTGAGTTCCAAGATGAATCTGGCTGAAGAAACTGCCCGTGTGAAGAGTCTGCAGAGGCTTAGCCGAGATGAGCCCTTGTGCTTACAAATTTAGTAGTAATAATCTTCATAATACTAGTAGTAAAACAAGTAATAGTATGAATACTAGTAGCTGCCGAATCTACGCAACCGCGGGCAACCCCTGCTGAGCGATGGGACACTCTGCTGGCCTTGGTGGAAACATGTGCCTCTGCCTGTATTGGCAGCCTGTAGTACTAAGCGACCTGCCTGTGATATCGAGCCATGCCGTTCGTCGAGCTACCAGTGCTAGCAAGTCAGAGACCCCTTTGCCCAAGTTGCCTCCCTAAACCCTAAACCCTGAACCCTTAACCCTAAACCCTAAACCCTCCTTAAAAGCCAAGCCTGTAGAGCCCCCCCGACCACCCCGAGACCACAGCTTTCAGGCCCCTGCCGCAGAGACCCGAGGTGCGCCTGCCCATGCTGCGCCTGAGGCGCTGCATGTGCCCTGATGGGTTCTTCTGTGCTTATCTTAGGCGCAAAATAACCCCAAAACCTGTTATGATCGCAAAATAAGAGTTTTTGGAGAGGGTTTTGGGCTTAGGTGTTTGCTTCCGTCTAGGGTGGAGGGTTGAGAGTTTAGGGGGGAGGGGAGTCTTCTGGGGCCCTTTCTTGGTTCTCGCCAAGCTGCAGCGGTAAGCCCAGCTTCGGTGGACCAGGTGCCCGCGGCTATAGGGGAAGCATCCAAGAAGGTTTTAAGCGATGATCTGCATCTTATTCAGTGCTCTACAGGTCTATAGGTTGCTATATGCGACTAGATGTCAACAAGACTGACATCTGCGTATTCGAAAAAATGTATATATATATATGTATACATATGTACATATACATATTTACATGAGCCCTCAATGAGTATGGAGGAACCACAGTTCAAGGCCTGCAAGGGCTTACGAGGCCTCCGGAGCCGATATCGGCACGGCAAGCAAGGGTGTTACTCCAAGTGCCAAGAACTTTGGGATGTTCCCCTTATACTAACACCTCCTTAGTAATCAGGGATTATAATTGGGGGGGGGGGGGGTAATTGCTATAATCCCTTTAAGGGCTGTAAGTATAAGGGGGAACATCCCCACAAGAACCCTCCTGCCCGCAACCCCGTCGCCCTTGGAAAGTCCAGATGTCCTGTTCTTGACACAGCTACATGAGATGCAGGAGCAGGGTCTTGCATTTTGCCATCGAGTTTTGCGCTTCAAGCTCCCGTTTTGCCCGGGCGTGTGGCTGTCGAGAGCCCGACACATTCTGCCGCGAGGCACTTGGCTGCATGAAGCTTAAGTTCCAGTTGCGATTGTGAAGTCATGCCTGCGTGCTACTGACCCCTGGAATGATGCAAGGCGGGGGTGGGTGGGGCGGCGCACCTCATGACAAAGGTATATGACAGCAATCATGGCTCATGTCCCCTGCAATTCCCAAATTCTGCAGGGCCTTCTTTGAGAACCCGCCAAAAAGAAGCTTCAGCCCCTTCTTAACTGTAACGGAATGCTCCAGCTTTAGCCTGCAGATCCCTAACAAAAAAAACACAAAGCCATCCCGGACTGCATCCCAAAACTAGCAGCTAATGGTGCAAAACGTGAAAGCTCTTGCGTAGAATCGCGGAAATGGGCATGCGCACCTCTGCAGAATGCGGTTGGGCTGCCAACATGCATCTGGACGTGGCATCTTCGGCCACAACGAGTGTCAGCAGGTCCCGCATCACGCGTTGAGACGACATAAGGTCAAGAATGTCAAGTTTATTCGGTCTGCAGGATGCAGCGGACCTGCTACAGCCATCGGGAGCATCATTAATACAGCACTGGTCAGAGCAACCTCGAGGGCAAACAGCCCCGACTACACTGATACAAGTACAGCGTGTCCATGATGGATGGCCTGAGGTCTCCCAATACGCCGAATGGCAAAGACCCACATTTGCACGCCATTACATGCCTTTCGTCATCAGCGTTCCTACCCCGGTGTTTCCCTCTCCTTTCACGTGACATTTAACAGGCTTCATGTCTTTCTCCGAGGCGAAAACACAAGCCAACGGCGCACGCACACGCACGCGCACGCGCACGCGCACGCGCACGCGCACGCGCACGCGCACGCGCACGCGCACACACACACACACACACACACACACACACACACACACACACACACACACACACACACACACACACACACACACGCAAAAGAGTGTACTGTGTTTCCTGAATGTTCCGGCCACGCTTCCATGTAAAGAGCCGATCCGACCGTGTGACTTCTCCTTAATGTTCGACGCCCGCTTCGCAGGCTGTGGAGAACAACAGAGGAACGCACCAGTTGGAATCACCCCCTTACCAGTGTGTCGCTTGTCGCTGAGAAATGCCAACCTCATCCTAGAAGGTACTCCGTTACAGCATGTTGCAGCCTTCCAAGCAAAGTCTACCTTGATCCTTGAAACCCCAAACCCTACATGGCCTTAAATCCGTCTTCAAAGTTCCTGCCAGCTCCATGCCAATTCCGGACCTTGAATGAAGTGACACTATTGGAGGCCTAGGGCTAAAACAGGGCTCTAGGGAGTCTTGCCGGGTATCTGTCACCGCACATGCTGCGGACCCCTAAACCCCCCTACAACCTCCTATTCGCATGCATGGACCCTCCAGAACATCAGCCCCTGTACGACTATAGGGTTTAGGCTGCCGTTTAGGCTTTAGGGAAGCTGTCTGAAGCCCTGGTGGGAGCTAAGAACTGGGAGCGCATATGGGTGCATCTTCAACTGTTTTCGTGCTTCCTCTGCCTGGCGCGCCGCTGCCGTGCTCTTTCAACATGAGACTTTTTGCCACCCGCAGCATGAGTTTAGGGTTTGGGGTTTCGGGTTTGGGGTTCAGGAGGTTCTGTTATTGCTTGTTTTTGCTTTGGCCGGGGGGCTTGGGAGAGGTGTAGGCGGAAATGGGCAGTGAGCTCTCGGCACAAGGTTGGGGCCAACAGGTTTGATTTTTGCCACCCGC